CCTCAGTAATCCTGAAAGGACTACGTAGTCATCATGACTGATAGCCACTAAGCTGTACTGATAGTGGCCATCCACCTAAGCTTGAAAGGACAGCCATGGCAACTAGGATAATTTCATTGGAAATATAGTTTTAACAATGGAGATGTTTAATTCAGGTGCTGACTTTTTATTGATATCAATGCTCACAGTAACAATAATAATATAGTAATACTATTAAATATGATTCATTTCTGCATGAAAATGCAGAGGAACTGTGGCCGAAGTGGGAACTATTCGATATTACACTCTCACAGGCACATGGCCTCCAAAACAAGACAGGTTGGCCATTTCCGGTGGTCGGTTTTGCAGCTGTAGGGCCAACATGGTGAAGCAGAATTTCTTGTCTCCAGCATCCATGTGGCTCCTTTGCACCTTCTCCCTGTTGTTACTTGAGCTTCTGTGTGGGCACTTGGAAGACCTGTTGCTGCTGTTGCTCCTGCTGCTCTTGTGGCTTCCCACAAGAAGACCTAGAACTGCTGTGGCAGCCTCCGCTATTTCGCCGTCCAAGACAGCAGGATCTTCTGTTCTCGCTACCCGAACGGAGCCTGCTGAGACAGCAGGAACGTTCCTCTTCCTCCTGCTTGTAGCATTGGTCCTTGTCCTGACGGGAACACATCCTTCTCGACCAGCAGAGCAAATCTGGAGGGAAGAAAGAAAGTCATGGAGCTCACTTTGTTGTGGGACTCTACCAGCTCCTCAATTTGAGGCATGGCTCGTTGGCTTACACAAAGTTCTCTAAGTGTGTTCTTGAAAGAACTGTGTGAGGGAGGTGTGGGGAGAGAAGCAGAGCGAGAGTGAGAGTGCGAGAGAGCGAAGGAGAACCTTTCCAGAATCTACCCAGTTTTACTGCTGGCTAGGGATCTGATTCTTCATCTTCCAAGTCCCAAGGAGGGATGTGTGAATCAGCAGCACTTAACAGTCAGCACATGCTCCAAATCCCATCTCAAAGCTCCTTGTGACTCAAGACTGTACCGGGTTGCAATTAAGTTTTATTTTTCCTTTCCATGAAAATGCATGTCCATTATTTGTGCAGATTCTAAATATAAGCTGCAGTGATGCACATCTTTGAAATGCACATGTTCTCCTTCCATTGATTGAAATGCATTTGCATACTTTTCTCAATAGTAAATGTTTTTGCAAAAGTATGCATTTCATCATGCACATTTTTCAAATGTATACAAGCTGCTAAACACCTTGCTGGGGAATCCATGCATTATATTTCCAAGCTTGGAAATGTAAGGACTTCAACTGCGGGTTGTACTCAAATCTATGTTCAGTCCTGAAAGTGAATGCTGCTTAAATTGCTGGTCATCAATGGACTGAAATAAATTTCTCATACATCCTCCAGCCTCAGTTGTCTAAGTGGATATTCCACAGTGTCAGAGATCAACCCTGGGACAAGTAGCAGTCATAAAAACCATTGAATTACAGGCTATACAAATTCATGGGAGCCAGGGAGCCCCAAGTAAATTTTCCTAATTTGACTTTCAAAAATGTGAGTGGAAGTTTCTGTATCTGCTGCGGGGAGGATTATGGGGGTGGACTGTCTCCTCCATGAATGAAAAGGAAGATCTCATTTGCCCTGGGGCCCTAAGACACCCTTCCAGGGGCCTCTGTGTTGCATCCTAGGTGACTTGGAAAGAGGCACCTAAAAGCCTAGACACTGAGAACCCTGCCATCTGGTCTCACATTTGCCAAAGTCTAAACAGTGTCCCTCTTGCAGTCATGCATTTCACATTCAGAATATGATCGGTGAGAAGTTTCTGAAGATAAAAACATCGACTGCCTCCAAGTTGCGCAGAAAAATCTCAGCCACCCGACTGTTCCTGAACTTGAGGAACTAGAGATGTCTTGGACTCCAAAATCCTTTAGCCTCAGGCAATAATCAGGGGATTTGGGAGTAGTTGGTCAAAACATCTGGAGGGTACCAGATTGGGGAAGGCTGGCTTTAGTCATCACAGGGGGAAAAAGTTCCCATCCTCAAATTCAGATGATTCTGGGATTGTACCCAAATCTGGCAAATAGGTCCCTGTGGGCGCAAAGGCAGCACCAGGAGCATAGCAGGTAATGGATGCTGAAGGAGAGAATTCTTGCATGATTCCCGTTTTGGACCAAGAGGCCCACTCTTAGCTGGCACAAATGTTCTCTGAGGAGTCTCAACTCACACCTGAAAAGTGTAGGAGAAAAGGGGGCTTCCAGAAGGCGCTCACCTTATCTTTTCTCTCTGCTGCGTGTTCTGCTGTGTTGACAGTGCTCTCCTCTGGAAGGTTCAATTCCCTCCCTCCCCTTATATGTCCCAAGGGAACTATGGGGAGAAAATGGTAACTGAGCTTCCACAAAGAAAAGAAGAAATGACTGTATGGATAAGAGCAGAGAAGCAAAATGGTGCTGTGAGCGTGTTGGCTCAGGAAGAAAGGAAGCTGAGGTATACCTAAGGATGTCTAAGAAATCTGAAATGGATCCAAATGAGTTCCATATTTCCATGACCCCAACTCATGGATTCTGCAGCACCTATTCCCAAGTCACATGAGCTTTACAGACTTGCAAACTATTTAAAAAAAAACATGGAATTTTACACAAATTTTTACAGCAGAGAGCCCCAGTCAGAAAGGCCAATGTTCAGTAGTCCAAAACAGTTGGAAGATGCCAAGTTGTTCCACGCGGTTTTAGTTGGAGAAGGAGAAAGAAGCAAACCAAGATGACATGGAAGGAAAGCAAAGGAAACCCTTACCTTCTCCAAGAAGCACTGTGGAGGATAAGCGATTGTGAGATGAGGCTTTCATCTGGGAGACCTTTTATGTTCACCCATGACCACTCTTCCTGGAGAAGGAGTCATGATTCAGCAATGCCTATTTGTATATTTTTGCATTGCATTACATATAAATCCCATCTTTAATTAGCCTGAGCTTTGTAACCTCTCTTTCGACTCATTCTATTGCCACAGTATTGCCAAACGATCAATGCATCTCTATCCGGTCTTGTGCAAGCTGTTCCAATGTCATGGATTTAATTGCTGAGCACATGTCATAGGATCGACCAAGAAACAGTGACCTGCTAGCACCCATGCGTGGTGTTCGTCATGAGATTGTTTCGTGTGCCCATGTTTTTTACATCACTTATATCAGGGGTAAACAAGCATAGCAGGTGGAAGTGGGTAAACGTCATCTCATGCCTGATTTCAGGGAGTGTCATGCCTGATGGCTCGACAGAGACATCTACTCGTGAGGAAGAGGCAGGAGCTAACAGTGAGAGTCGGGCATTGGAACAAGGGAACTTATATTTGAGGCCCAGTGCCCAGATGGCCCCTCTACAGCCTGGCTCTGAGACTGCTGAGCAAGGAACCACTCCACAGCCTGACCCCTTAGCCTCTGAGAGAATAGCCTCCCCGCAGACTGATGGGGAGGCATCTGAAAGAGCAGCTTCCTCTGATTCCAGCTCTGAACTGCCTGAATAAGTCACCCCCCCCCCCGCAGCTCCTGACTCTGAAACTGATGAGCAGAGTTCAGGAGAACAAGGGGATTTGTTCCAAGTGGTCTCAGATCTTCCTGTCTCGTCTTTCTGCTCGTGGGTGGAACAGACCTCTGTCCTGTCATCGTAATTGGATTTGTTGCCTTAAAGATCTCCGAACTTTAGCATTTGCCAAGCTTCCCATAAATCACCTTGCTCCTGATGTGCCACACAGATTCCATGCAATCTCTGGTTGAAATCCATACACTTCCCAAGTTGCCATGAAATTTGTAGGAGGAAAATTGCATTTGAAAAGCATAATCTACACTTCCCGGGTAAAACATGGATTAGAACTCAGCTATCCTTTGGTGTTCAGACATCTCTGAATTTTATGGTATAGTCCTCAGTGTGAAGAACGTCTTCCCAAGATGAATATTCAAATACGTTTCCAGGCTAAAATAAATAACCAAATGATGTTTGGGTGTAATCTGCAGAAGACTGAAGCTCATTGCATTGCATGGTTTCATCGCATTAACCAGCTGAGTGTCACCAACTTTTTCTTCTCCCACTGGGCTTCTCCCACTGGGCCTAAAGGTCTAAGGCAGGGGTGGACCACTTTGCAAGTTCTGGAGACCATCCTTTCCCACTTTCAGGGACTTCTATGGGTACTTAAATCGGAAGCAGCATGATAAATCGCATCTGTGGCTTCTACAGAGTGCCCAAAAGGTCAACAGTAGTTTGAAAACTAGGTAATATTGACCGTTCTTGGGTACCCCATCATATCTATGAATCAAGATCATTAGGAAAGCACCAGTTAGACTCTTCAGAAGCTCCTGCTACTAAAATCAGCTGAGCCTCCATCAGCTAAGCTTTGCCAGAGTTCACACAACTCCATGTGGGGTGCAAGTTTTTTTGTGGAATGTAGAATTTGCACACCATGTGTTTGTTTGCCCGAAGTCCAGAAGTAGCTGGGTGATCTCTTCCATGTTTCTTTCTCCTCCATGGATGCAGGATACAACCAGCTGTTCTCAGAGGCTGGCTGGATCTCGTGAATAAACATCCCATGCTGACAAACAGGAGATGATGAACAGAGAGATTAAGCATGTAAGCATTGACCCAACAGCAAGTATGAGGTGAGGCACCAGGGTGGAGGAACAAACGACTGTGTGGGAGGCTTATGAGAAGGAAGATGTGGGCTTGAAAAATGGGCTGGCTCCATTCCTGCCGCCTTGTCATGAATAATGGGAAGTATCCAGTCTGCTCAGTATTGTCTATGCATAGTGGGGCAGGGGTGCAGCTTTGAACTGCAGGCGGTCTACATGATAATTTTATTTTATTTAAACATTTTAAGAATTGTTAATATTATTTATTGGTTTAAAAAAAATTATAGCCAGGGTGAATCCGGATTTTATGTGTATCTATTTATATGAGTGTTTATTTATTATGTTGGAAGCTATCCTGAGGCTTATGCAAATGGGACGGCATACAAAAATTCCAAATAAATAATAAATAATTGCCATAGACATGCCTCCAAGAAGGGACTGAAAATGCAGGTAGTGATAACATGGGCACTTGGCTTGTTTATGTATTTAGGAAATTTATAGGCCATCCATCACTGTCGTCCCTGGATGGATTAGAGCACACCACAAATCCTAAACAAAATAAATTGTTCAAGGAAGGTTTTCTTCTATTGAATTCCATAGTTGTTAGGACAGAACCTCCTTATTTGGGGGCACTCTATCTCAAATTGGCAGCTTCTGGGGAGCATGCTGATCCAAGGTCGTTGAACCCAAGCCTGGGAGTTCCACAGAAGGCCACACCGATCAGCCAACAGCGGAAGAACAGTGAGGTGCCAAAGTGCAGTGTAGGGGGGTGACATGTTGAACTTGGCCTGGGGACACCTAAGATTTCCCTGTAAAAGGGAAAGGGGGGGGNGGGGGGGGTCACAGCATGCCCAAGCCTGTCCTCCAACAACGTAAGACCACCAGCTTAAGACGATTCCAGGGGTTTCTCTTCCCAGCACTTGGAAGTAGCCATTTATCTCAAAGATCGTTCAATGGTTCTAGGAACCTCCATCTTCTTCAAGGGCTGGATTTTTATACAGCAAATGGGTCTGAATGACTCACTCAAGATCAAGTCACTACAAGCCACCTCATCCGGAGGCCTCCAATGCAGAGGATTCCAGAAGTCGTAAATTACATGTGTGCTGAGTGACTTCCTTTTGCCCGCCCACTCCTGGATCTTCTGCCAACTCTTGAGATGTGAGACTCACTTCCTAGTTGGCCTAGCGATTCTAGTTTGGATCAAGAAAAGAATCCGAGTCAAAAGCTGCATGTTTGCTAGAGAGGCCAATTCAGCGATCTGATCTTGGTAAATACCACACGGAACTGCTGACGTGCACCATCTGTAGGCACATGCAGATTGGAATGCGCCTGTGCATGGGCTCACATGCTCACCTTGCCATTATGAAACAGTTCTTGCCTCATTCAAACAAAATAAAACAAACATAAAACCGATGAGCCCATGTTTAAACTTGGAAGAAGCCATTTAAACAGCTTAGGTCTGGACTACTTGAAGGAATATCTCCTCCCCTATAAGCCCTCATGCCCCTTAAGATTGGTGGGGAGTCCTTGCTCCAGGAACCCTCTCTGAAGGAAGTATGGAGGGTGCCTACCCGGAGGAGGGCCTTCTCTGCAGTGGCGCCCAGACTATGGAATCCGCTCCCTAGAGAGGTCCGCCTGGTGCCGACGTTATATTCTTTCTGGCGCCAGGTAAAGACCTTGTTTGTTATTTTAACAATTAATGTTTTTAGACATTTTAGGATTTTATTTTCCCCCCTTTTTCACAGTCACATTTTCTTTAGGGTTTTATATAAATATAGTTTTATATTTATTGTATTTTATATCTTGTAAGCTGTCCTGAGTGCTTAAAGTGATAGGATGGGGTATAAATGTATGTAATAAATAAATAATACATAAATTCATCTCAAAGATCGTTCAATGGCTCTAGGAACTTCCATCTTCAAGGGCCGAAATTTTGTTTGTGTGATCAAAAATGGCGTTCAAGGCAGTGAATCATCATTACCCTCAGCCTCTGAGCTGAAACCCACTTAGAAATTATACTGTCTTGTATGATTGTGTCATCTTGTTTAAGGGGCACAGTGCTAAACCTGCTTGACAGAATCCAGAGAATTTGGAGAATTTGGAGTCCCGGCTCTGGAAATTCACTCTGAGCCGTGAGTGAAGACTTCAAACCCAGGGTGTCCTTCCACCATCCTTGCAGCCAGCATGGCAGTGGCTCCTAGGTCAGAAGAGCAAAACTGAAGATGACCATTGGTGGATGGAGAGGAGGTACAGGAGGTAAGGGGGAGAGGAAAGGGGTTGGTTAGCCTGCACAGCATTCTGGGGGTTCCTCATCTCGCACTGCATGGGAAGTACTCAGGTGGTGATGGCTTTCCTGGAGTTTTGGTGGGCCTGCAGGTGAGCTTTGCTTCAAAGCTCCTTGACCCTCCTTAGGATTCCCAAGAGGAGCTCAAGGGCTTCTGGACAGCTGCATTGGATCACGCCACTTGGGTGCAAGCTCACCCAGACAGTTCTGGCTATTGGGTGATATGGACATATAGTAAACAAAAGCACATGCAACACATAATTTAAAGAGATAATCAGTTTTAAAAATTATCTTAATGTGGGGCCTCTGCATGTGGCTTGGAGGCAGACATGCAAAGGCGTTTCCACGATGTGAGAAGCCATGGTGAAATTGGGCCACTGTGCATCCGTTGTGTCATCTAGACCCGCCTCCAGAGTTCCTGCATGGAATGATTAGCTTGCTGAAGTCACAGAGAGAATCCGTGGTCTGTTGTTGGGTTTCTAGATGTCAGTGTGAATTTTTCAGCCAGGGCATCATTGCTCACTTTTTTCTCCTGGGCTGAGTGACGTGTCCATCTCTCTGTTCGCTTTTGGGAACAGGAAGACAGCCAAAAAATACACAGAGGGAGAAAGGGGAAGTTGTGGCAAAACAGTTTGTTCTCTTCTAATAGAAATCTCGGCGGGGGCTGGAGGTGGTAGGAAGTGTTGCAAGTATGCTTAGGAAGGGGAAGGGGGCAATCCATCGCAGGGCCAATCAGGAAGAGGCTGCTGGGGTCCTTAGGAAAGGACAGCCATTTTGCTCCCAGGGGCTGCCAAGAAGCACGGCAGCCTGGGAGGGCAAAGGTGGGGAAGGCAGAAACCAGCTTGCCTGGGTAACCACGTGACCTAGTATGTTTGGGCAAAGATCCTTGTGCCATGGAAGCAGTGCAGGGCCGCTTGTGGGCTCAAGCCTGTGGACCCACCCAGGCAGATCCTTCCATTTCTCCACCATGCTGGGATAGAGAACTGGCTGAGAAGTGTGGACCTATTCTTGCAGTGTGGAATGCTAATGGATTCCCTTGGTTAGAAAAGAAAGCGGCAGAGTCTCTTCAGAAGGAATCTAAGTGAAGAGAGAGATAATTATGCCCTTGACTGGGATGGTGATGGATGGATGTGATGATAAACAGGATGGTTCCCAACAGGCAGGGAGGGAGACACAGATTTTGATTTATGGGTGCACACAGTGTCACTCTTGGCCTAGCTGTGGGAGAAGAAAATATATCTATTGTTGAGAAAGGGGAGATACCTTATATTTAAAATCTTTTAATATAGAATTAGAGTCCAGAGCAAGAACAAATTGACCTTTATGGAGAACTGGCCACACCTTGCTAGAAATTAATTGCTGCTCCCTCCCTCTGCATCTATCTATCCATCCATCCATCCATCCTATTTTATATCACATCCCACTTAACAATGAAATACAGATTCATAACAAATAAGACAAATATACTTAGAACCAGCGCTTTTTTT